CACTCAACTTGTAGCTGAAAGAACGTAGATTAATCTCCTGTCAGTGGCAATAACAATAAACGACCAGAACACTGTTAAAATCCCACTTTATTTGCAACGGTTGACACTGTATCTCGTCATGCGTACCCCGGTTAGTTCACTTTGCACAGCTCTTACATCGTTATACGAACAGCTTTCGTTTAGCTGAAGCACTCAATTTGTAGCTGAAAGTACGTAGATTAATCCACTGTTATTGAGAATAAGTATAAACGAACAGAACACTGTTAAAATCGCATTTAATCGCGGAGTACCACTATTTTTTTGAACGGTGGCGCCATCCGTGGCGAATCGGTGAAACTGCTAAGGGTCGTTTATTGATATTACTAATATACGGGGATTAATCTACGCTCTTTAAGCTTCAAATCGAATGCTTGGTCAAGACGAAAGCTATCCGTATAACGGTGTAACTGCTGTCTAAAGTGAACTAAACGGGGTACGCATGATGGGATACAGTGTGAACCGTTACAAATAAATGTGATTTTAACAATGTACTTGTAATTGCTGGTTTCCAGTCGCTAGAAAGAACTAATCTACGTTGTTCAAACTTCGAATTTAATGCGTGACGAGGAAAACTGATGCCCGTTCAACGGTGTAAATGTAATCGAAATCTGTGCAAGTAGGGTGGCCGCCACATAAGGGGCTATGGAATTACAGGCATAATTAATTTTACTAATTCAGGGGTTCTGCACTATTGGGTCCATGCATTAAGTCCTCAGGGACAATTTGAGACTAATGACGTTCATTTTAAGTGCTTAATTACTGAGATATACGCATTTTTCCATCATTAGGAAATTTCACTCACCTGTCGGTATGATTTGGCTAGTAGTTTGCGCGAATTGCCACGGGTGGCGCCACCGGTCGAAAAAATAGTGGTATTCCGTTATTAAATGCGATTTTAACAATGTTCTGGTCACTTATTGTTATTAACAATGACAGGGGATTAATCTACGTTCTTCAAGCTATAAATCGAAGGCTTGGTCAAGACGAAAGCTGTCAGTATAACGTTGTAAGAGTTGTCCAAAATGAACTAAACGAGGGACGCATGACGGGATATAGTGTAAACCGTTGCAAATAATTGTGATTTTAACAATGTTCTTGTAATTACTGGTTCCCGGCTGCTAGAGGGTACTAATATACGTTCTTGGAGCTTCAATCTGAATGTTTAATTAAGACGAAAGCTGTCAGGATAACGTTGTAGGAGTTGTCCAAAGTGAACTATACGGGGGACGTATGACGGGATACAGTGTAAACCGATGCAAACAATTGTGATTTTACCCATGCTCTTGTAATTACTGGTTCCCAGATAATATATTTTCTCCATCATCTCCCAAAAGATGTCACGATTATAAACTGTAATAGGAACGGTCGAATAAAAATTACTACAGTATGAAACTAGTTACATTTAAACTCAATTACGAGGTAGTAAAATTACCAATTACTATTTTTATATATTTCATGATATTGCAATTTGTTCTTTTATATTAAAAGGCTTCTGTCATTGTTGATGATGTTGCCGATGTTTCTCCAGATAGTAACAACTCGAAGTCAGTCCTTCGAATGCGTGATCGATTATCGTGTCTCAGGAGAAAACATAGCTGATGAGTAAAAAGAACACGCACAACGTCCTTCTGCCGTGACACGGAAGCCACGATTCAAATAATCAAGGTGAGTCGCTCACGTTCCGACACGATGCGTGCACGCGAATCTCGAGGCAAATTCCTGCAGACGATGATTGAAAGAAAAATGCGTATACACGCATCTTTCGTGATTGCGATCAAGGCCGAAATATTCCCGTCGATCGTTTCTTGGAAATAACGTCAAACTTATAATTTACTTTTCTACCTCGACGAGGGATGGGCGAAGCCTTCCTCGAATAAGAGATGAAGAATAATTTCTTTGTAATCGATGATAATAGCCCTGTTCGATAAATACGCTATTCGATCGGTGATTATTTCGATGTAATTTTAATGGATTATTGTTTTAACTTGTATTATCCGATATTACAATAAATCAGTATAAACAGTTACATTCGAATAAAAATGGAGGATCATTAACTACGATTACTACTGTTGTATTAGGTTGAGTTAAAAAGAAATTTCTTTATATAGTCAATGAAAATTTGATAAACTATAATTAAATAATAATAATGAAAAGGTATTGAAATCGTAAGTGAATTATCAAGTTGTGTAATATGTGAATATTAATTGTGGAATGTCTTTGACTGAAATATGTTTAAGAAAGAATAAAGCTTACTTATGACTCAATCTAATAATGAATATATGTAACAGTGTGTAAATAGGAAAAGTTTGAAAGGTAAAAATAAAAAGTAATTTATTATCCTTTTTTGCAGAAATAAGCAAATAATTTCGAATATTAAATTACGATATCCCTCAATTGTATTCTATATTATGCGATCTTAATTTTTCGTATTTACTGTATTATTGCCGAAAGAAACGTGTACCTGAGCCCGACATATTTGAACTCAACCTCACGCGCCGTTATTATCA